AAACTTCTAGCAGCTTTGTACAGAAGCCACCGCTGTAACCCCTCCTCCACCAAAACCTTGCCACGCAGACCCGTTACATAGGCATGGTAACATGTAGGCCTAGTAAGATGAGAATACTGTGAGTTAGATTGAACATAGGTTTTTTTCCTAGAATAGAATATAGGGTGTAGAATGCTCTTTGTGTTGAGGAAGAAAATGGAGCATAAATAATACAAAGCAGCTATACATCTTCCTTCTTGGATTGGTTATGTTACTAAAGGGACATTAAAAAAACAGGTTGATTGAGAGTTTGAAAGTACTAAAATTTTACCTTGGTTTGTTCCCTTTAGTTACTGAAATTCGAACCTCATGGAGAAAAGCTACTCAGACTGAGGGCTTATCAGACATAGAGGTGGACCTAACTGAAGTAATGACAGAAAGAGCTCCAATGGATGCTAGACCTGTAGTGCAGAAGACGGCAGACTCTAGATTCACGTGCTCTATCTCGTCATTTCCTGCACCTGACTTTGATCCTCCCTTGTCAGAAAGGAAGTCCAGACTAAGTTCTACAGAATTTAGACCTCAAGAGCAGATGAAGATAAGTCATATCGTTGAATCTCCAGTTTTGGAAACATCTGGAATGCGAGAGAGTGAGAGAACTGAAGCACGGGAATTAAAATGTATTGTTTTGAACAAAAGTTCTGTAGAAGATCCAGGAGAACAGACTTCTCAATATGTAAAGAAGAGTCTGGGTACTCCAAATATTTGTTCAGAAAATGATAGTAGAACAAATGTTCTACATTCAAACCAATTTTGGGGTTCCGTAATGGGTGAGATGCTGCACTGTAATGTATCTTCATTGTTAAGTTCTGTCAGTTGTGAAGCTGGCCACTTGGGGATATTGGATGAGACATTTCCAGAAGAACATGGTAACATAGATCCCAACAAATCTGCAAGCTCAGAGTCTGATTTTGGTGTAATAGACAGTGCATATGTAAAAGGTGATTCAAAAAATAAAGGGGATATTAAAAAATCAAAGCTAGATCTGCAGTCCCAGTTCAACACAGGTAAAGCGCTGAAAAAGCCTGCATCTAGCAGTGAAGAGAAGGTGCATCAAACATGTAATGGAGATGAATCTGTGAGTTGTAAATCAGACTTAAGTCTTGTACCAGGAAAAAGAGAGAGCGCTGAATCTTGGAATTGTCCACATCTCTTCTGCTTGGATGAAGAATTTACCAACATGCCATTGCCAAAATCTCTTGATGAAAGAAAATATTCCCTGTCATCTTTGCTGGTATTCTCTCAACATCTGGAGGAAATGGCATCAGCGGTACACGAAATCCCATTAAACTTACCAGACAGACTGAAGGGTAAGTGTCCATGTACTTTAGCAACAAGATGTTGTCCATTCTGCTGCCATAAATAACCTGCTGTGAATAGCTGAACCCTGCTGGTTTAGTGTAGGGAGACGAATTATTTGTATACTTATTCCTTGTGGAAGATGAGATGTAAAAGCAAAGGAAGCATGCTTCCTTTAGTTGTATCAACATCTTGCAAGTAGGAGGAAGGGTGTTCATCTGACTTTCTGAGGTAATCTGCAGCTATTAAAAAAAAAAAGCTGCAAGTTGCATTAGCAATGGAGGAATCTGAAGTTAAATTTTGAGGATTCACAACGTTGGTTTGAAATAGCATGTTTACTCCGAACAAATTTGGCTATTTAGAAGTGTATTGTAGGCAGTTGGAACTTTAGTTCAGTCAGGCGCTCATATTCTGTTAATACTTTATTAATATAGTTTTTATTATTAAATAACCAGCATTTCAGCCTGCTTGCACCCTCCCTCCATTTATGATGAAATGTCAACTTTCTTTAGTCAGTAGTGCAGTGTTTAGTCATGTTTAGCCAATTTTTGAAATGTGTTCCTAAAAATGAGCCAGTAATGGTTATACAGAAGACTTTCATTGAAACAGATGGTATTTAATGGAGTACTAGGAATTTAACACAACAAACTAGTCTCAAGGAGTAGTGAGATTTACACTTTGTGCAAAGACTTGCTGCAATTTAGCTTTCACTTAAAAATGTGGCTGTACTGATAGCGGATTTTTTCACCTTATTTGAAACAGCTACCAAAATTGGCAATACCATTTCACATATTCATATTTAACAACAAAAGAAAGACCACGGAGAGCCTCTATCCCCTACTAGATCCAGGAGGTAATACGGTAATAAGAGACGAGGATAAGGCTGCGGTGCTTAATGCCTTCTTTGCCTTAGTCTTTAGTAATAAGAACACTTGTACCGGGGAAAGTCAGCCCCCCAAGCCAAGAGACAGGGGCCAGGAGCAAAATGTCCCCCCCACAATCCAGGAGGAGATGGTTAGTGACCTGCTGCTCCACATCGATGTGCACAAATCTATGGGGCCGGATGGGGTACATCCTAGAGTGCTGAGAGAACTGGCAGGGGTGCTCACCAAGCCACCGTCCATCATTTATCAGCAGCACTGGCTGACTGGGGAGGTCCCAACAGATTGGGCATAAGCCAATAGAGCACCCATATATAAGAAGGGACGGAAGGATGATCTGGGAAATTACAGGCCTGTCAGTTTGACTTCAGTGCCAGGGATGCTGATGGAGCAGATCATTCTGAGTTCCATTATACAGCACATGCAGGACAACCAGGTGATCAGGCCCAGTCAGCATGGGTTTATGAAGGGCAGGTCCTGTTTAACAAACCTGATCTCCTTCTGTGACAGGGTGACCTGCTTGTTGGATGAGGGAAAGGCTGTGGATGTCATCTACCTCGACTATAGTAAGGCATTTGACACTTTCCTATGGCATTCTCTTAAGAGAATTTGACTGCTCTTGGCTTGGGTGGGCATACACTTTGCTGGGTGAAAAACTGACTGGATGGCCGAGTCCAGAGAGTTGTGGTCAATGGACTTAAATCTAGTTGGTGGCTGGTCACAAGCGGTGTCCCCCAGGGCTCAGTACTGGGTCCACTCCTGTTTAACATCTTTACCAATAATTTGGAGAAGGGGATGGAATGCACCCTTAGCAAGTTTGCAGGTGACACCAAGCTGGGTGGAAGTGTCGATCTGCTTGAGGGCAGGGAAGCTCTGCAGAGGGATCTAGACAGGCTGGGTCACTGGGCCAAGGTGAATTCCGTGAGTTTCAATAAGGCCAAGTGC